TTATTGATATAGGTAGGAGAGCCCAGCCTATGGTGGGCAGCACCATTCCTAGACAGGTGGCCTTGGGTTGTATCTAACAAAGTATGAGCATGCCAATAATTGAGCATGTGATGTTCCTCATGGTTTCTGTTTTGAGCTTTTCCCTTGGATTTCTACCCTGACTTCCTTAGATGCTAAATTGTGACTTGAAAGTGTAAAATGAAATAAACCATTTCTTCCCAGCTGATTTTGGTCAGAATGGTTGATCATAGCAACAGAAAAGAAACTAGAACAACAGAAAATAGGGACATGACTACAATCTTCCCATTCCTACCCACATCCAGTCATAAGAAAAACCTGTCTTCTCCTGTCCAGGTCCTGGGTGGTAGTACATGGCTTTTCTTCCAGAAAGCATATGACCCATCCTATCTTCGTTTGAAAGTAGAGATAATACTTGGCCTGGTAGCTATGACAACAGCTTGAGCCAAAACACAGTGATTGATGATAGATAGCTAGGTCTGTGGTAGTAGTAATGAAGTTAGCACTTCCTAACAGAAGTAGGGAGTGGAGGCTTTTGAGATCATCATCAGAGATCCTGGCTACCACTCTTCCTGGCTCAGCACCAGCTGTGAGGGATCTTGAGAGATGCTAGACTATCTCGGAAGTGGAAGATGAAGGTGTGTCTCCATGATGCCGCATCTATTGAGGTTGCCCTCTGTTATGAGATGGGCTTTGGTGGTACAGCTGCTCTGGGGTCATGCATGGCCCTGTAAGTCACCTGTGCTCTGAAATTACACCCAAAAAACCCTCATCAGTTGACCAAGTTGGAGTTCAGTGGAATCATAATTCAGTCTGGTGTCATAGACCTACGTAGGATGGGGAGACATTGTTCATGTCATGTCTCTCCTGGAAAGCGACTGCAGCAGTGGGTCTCTGGCCATCTGATCAGGTTGTATTCTTCTGCTCTAACAGTCTGGTGAGGGGTAGTTTTAACTATCAACTTGACAATTCAGAATCAGTCACCTTAGGAGAAAATCTATTGAGGGACTGCTTATATCAGGTTGGCATGTGTGCGAGTGTCTTGATTGTTAATTGAGGTGTGAGGACCCACCCTGAATATGAGTGGCAGTATTTTTTGGGCTGGACTCTGGGTGTATAAAAGTAGCTGAGAACTACCAGCAAGCAAATAAGTTAGCTAGAATGTAATTTTTTATTTGTTCTTGACTATGAATGTGACGTGACTAGCTGCTTGAGTCCCTGTCTTAAATCTTCCGAAATGATGCACTGTGCCTTGGAATTATAAGCCAATAAAACCCTTCTTCCTTAAATTGCTGTTTGCAAGGGTATTTATCACAGCCATAGAAATAAAACTAAAGCAAACTTAAACGCGTCTCACGTGAAAAGTTAGGTCTCGGTTTCTCTATCTATCTGCTAACTACCATTTATCCATCCTCTTTCCATCTTCCAAAGTCCTGCAGGTGTTCGCTTAGTCAGGTGATGTCTTAGTCAGGGTTTCTATCATTGTTAAGAGACACCATGATGATGGCAACCCTTATTAAAAAAAAAAAACATTTAATTGTGGTGACTCGCTTACAGATTCAGAGGTTCAGTTCATTATCATCATGGCAGGGAGCATGGCCAGATGCAGGCAGAAGTGACGTTGGAGTTGTACCTGAGAGTCCTACATTTCACAGGCACCAGGAAGTTGCCTGACACACGGGGTTGTATCCCGGCCACAGGAGACCTCTAAGTCAACCTCCACAATAATTCACTTCCTTCAACAAGGCCATTCCCACTCCAATAAAAACCATACCTCCTAATAGTGACACTCCCTACAGGGGCCAATTACATTCAAATTGCCACACCAACGTTGTTACTTAGTTTTCCCTTTCTATGCACTGTGCCTCTTTCCCATCATTTTAGCAGCTTCAGGAGGAACCAGAAGTGAATGTGGGTTCACTCCACCAAGCTACACCACTCGGAGATGCCAAGACATTCTACTGCAGAGAACCACACCCAAAGTTTGTCCTCCTGGTCTGGTCCATTCTTATCCTACTCTCCTCTTTAGATGTTTCATCCCACGTATCCTTCAAGCTTTCCTTAGCTTGGGGATATCACCTCAAGCTAGAGATGCTCCACTCCCTGTGTGTACAGTTGCCATGGCTACTGTAGGCTACTGTTCTCCAGGAATGGCATGCGTGTTGCTCCCTTGAATTCTCCCTGCAAGAGACTGGTGTTAGACGGGATGGATTAATGTTCCATCACTGGGGGGAGAGGCTCACAAGGCCCCACTCCTCCCTGAGGATCTATTGGCAGTTAATGGTTGCTGGGGAAGGGAGGCATTTTCTTTGGTAGTGTTGCCATTGGAGGCTACCCATGCTCCTGCAAATAGCATCAAGTAATCTCATTGTGCACCAAGCACTGATGGTCTGACATTCGTGCCTGGGATGGTTAATCTCTACTGCCATCTTGATGGGATTCCAAATGACTATAGAAAACAATTCTCATGACATGTCTGCAAAGGCTATTCTAGATAGAGTTAAGTGGGGTGGAAGACATAGCCTGAATGCGGGTGGGGCCATCTCATGAACTGGGTTTCCGTACAGAATAAAACAACGAGAAAGTGAGGTGAGCATCAATATACCTCTCTCTCTCTCTCTCTCTCTCTCTCTCTCTCTCTCTCTCTCTTTCTATTCAATGTGACCAGGGGCCTCCCACTCCTGCCGCCATGCTTTCCCCATGATGATGATCTGTACCCTTGAACTGTGAGCCAAAAGGAATCCTTTCTCCCCTAAACGTCTTCTTATTAGACATTTTGCCACAGCAACAAGAAAAGTCTCCACATCTCAAGAGAAAAGACATTTGTCAAGCTCACCAGAAAACGTCGTGCCACAGGGTCCACAGGGTCTCATACCACATAGGTCACCTTGCACTGGAATGACGGCCTTGCTTGCCTGTTTCCCTCCCCAGACAAGAAGTCAGTCAACTAGGACTATGTCCCTTGCAAGATTGCATCTCCATAGTAAAGCCAGTCACCGGGTGCATCGTAGATACTCATCGACATCTGTTCAGTTGAGCCATTTCTAATACACCGCATGTTGGAGGCCTTTCCAGGCTCATCAGAGAGTGAAACACGGGGCCGTGTTTATTTGCCAACATGGAAATAAGAAAGGCTAATCAGAAAGCACCAGGAAGTGAAAACCGCCAGATGTTTTCTCAGAACACAAGTCCAGGAAGACAAAATAGCATGCAAAGGGGGTGATGTATATTTTTTCCCAGTGATTCAAAATGAATGTGCGCTTATTAGGCGGAGAGAGAGAGATTTAACGGGTTTCTCAGCTAATGCTGTAATTTTAAATCCATTTAAGATAATTTTCTTTATCTTGAATTTATTTTTCTCAGTAACCAGGATACTTAACTGATTTGCACAAAACCCATTTGAAAAAAAAAGAAATAATCTACCGCAAGCGAGGGCACATTCTAAATGGGAATAAAAAGGAGACATTGAAAATCTAAAGAAAATGGAGATTTGAGAAACCAGAGTGAGCTCTTACATAGTAAATAGCAACTTTTGAAGCTCTAGTTCGATGGGGGAGGGTGTCAAGCCCACCCTTAGTGGAGGAGCTATTGGAATTTGGTGGCTGCTAAGGGTGGGAGAGTCACCATCCCTTGGGTATAAGAACTTGTAGGTTACCTGTGCCCCAGTGGCTGTCTCTATATCCACATGCTTTTGGGGCTGGAGAGATGGCTCAGGGGGTAAAGCAATCACTGTGAAAGCATGAGGATCCAAATTTGATCCCCAGGACCCATGAAAGTGCCAAGGCTGGCGGCATGCTCTTACCACGCCTGGGAAGACAGAGGCAGGGGGATTTCTAGGGCTCACTGGCCAGTCAGCTAACCCAGCTGAATCAGGGAGCTTCATATTCAGTAAGAGACCCCGTCTCAAAAACTAAGGTGGAGAGAGGTAGGAGAGGATAGTTGACATCTACCTCTGTCTTCCACGACTACATGCACACGCTACACACATATGTGTACATATAAGAATACAAACATTTACACGTGTGCTTGTGTTATGATATCAAATCAAAAAGACAAAACTGATATGTCGCTCATAATCTACAGAAAACAGACTCAATGGTAATATTTTGGTGTTATCATGTATTAGTATGTGATAATATATAATATTATCAATATGCTAGGCATAGTGACTCATGTCTATAAACCCATCATCTGGTGGGGGGGGTGAGATGAGGCAGGAGGATTGATTATGAGTTTGAGACTGACTTGGGCTACATAGTAAGTTTTAGTTAGCTTGAGCTACATGCAGTAAGACAGTGTCTTGAAAACCAACAAATACAAAATATAAAGTTCAACAGATAGAGGATAGACAGGTAGATGACAGATATAGGTAGGTAGGTAGGTAGGTAGATAGATAGATAGATAGATAGATAGATAGATAGATAGATAGATGATGGATAGAGAAAGATAATAGACATCAAAATGTCAACAATTACCACACTTAGGTAAGGATACCATGGTGGTATTTTAAATTTAAGAATTTTTATATTGAGAATCTTTCTATATTTTTCATTACTTTTATAACTGTTGTATTCTTTCTTTTTTGAGATGGAATCATGTAGCCCAGGCTGGTTTCAAACTAACTACGTAGGCCAGGCTGGCCCTCCTACCTCAGTCCTGAGTTCCTGATGCTCCTGGCTCCACTTTTCCAGTGCTGGATTCCCCACTGAATCCAGCTGTGCCACCAATTCTGAAGTGTCTGTGATGGAACCCAGGGCTTCATTCCAGAACTCATAGGAGGCAAGTACGATATCATTTGAGCCACATCACCAGCCCTTAGCTTTTTATTTAGCCAGTATTTCCTAAGCAACAAGAGCCCTTGATTGGTTATAGAAGAGAGAGTTCAAAATAGAAGATCCCTCTGTGGTTACAAATAGATGAGAACGTATCACAGATGAAGACAAAGCTACCCAGCCCCTTGCCAGGGCTCAGCTGGAACTTACTTAGTTGGACGATAATCTGGAATAGACCGATCCAAGGAGATCTTTTCGCTGAGGTAGGAATTGTAGCCGTACTTCTCATGAGGTCCTTTGGCTTTTTCTTCTTCCGAGGGGGAAAGGGTGGCAGGAAGGCCTCCTTTGCCCCGCCCACCATACCCTTCGATGAGTCCCAGTGATTTGGATAACCCTACAAAGAAGGAGGAGAAAGAGTTACTCTAAAACACCTCCTCTAGATATATCATGTGACCTCTGACAGAGCTTCAACTAAGATTTTAACATATCTTAGCACATAAAAAATTATGACCCCAGTTTACACAGTCTGTATATATGCTTGGAAGGTATGTATGCAGGGGTAGGGTCTGCTGTAGCCCGGGCTGACTTTGAACTCACGACGTAACTGAGGATGACTTTGAACTCCCAGTCTTCTGCCTCCACATCTCCTGTGCCCTGGCATAACAGGACTGTACCTCAAGTATCCAGTTCATGTGGTAGTGGGGATATTTCTATGAAGAGAGGGGCCCAGGCTATGCCAAGCTCTGGGGTTCACATCTGAATATTTGGAGACAGAGACCACTGAGACTTGGAGAAATAAAAACCAAGAGGAAGCCAAGAAATGGAATGAATGTGGAACCTTATCTGTGCCCATTTCCCCTTTCTCTTTGGGACAGTCACAGCCAGGTTAGGTCTGCACGAAGGAGAAGGTTCCAGGAACCTAACACATTTAATAAATATCAGGGAACCAGCAGGGAGCAGGTGGATGGGTTCAGTGTGTGTGTGTGGGGGGGGGGGGGATGAGAACTGCTGCAGTTGAACCAGGAAAAAAAAAAAAACAGGTTAATTTCACCATGAGCTAAAAGCACAAGCTAGGTCTTGACGTGACTCTTTGCCTAATGGTTTTATTTAACTTCCATCTCAGTGGCAAAGGGAAACACAAAGTGCTTGAGAACAAATTGCAAAGATGAGAAAAATGCCCCTAAGTATGATAACCAACAATACACAAGGAAGAAGCCCTCCATGGCAACCGTCTCTGAGCAGCTGCAGCCCCCAGGATGTTGGGAGGTCCCTATCCATTGTCGTGGAATCCCATAAAGACCTTGACAAGTAAGCATAGACGGCAGAGCTCTGAGAGGTTAAATTACTTAGCTAGGAAAATGTGTGCTTATGACTCTCATTATTTGTAAATATACAAGCCACTTATTACACACACACATGCACACACTCTGGAGTCCCGGGAATTGAACCAGGACCTCTGACACACAACTTTTTTTTTTTTTTATCACTGAATCACATACTCAGTTTCTTTCTGGAGGATTCTAGGCAGGCACTATACTGCTGGTCTAGGTCCCTAGTCCTTCACCAGGTGATGCCACACAACCGCTTGCCCACTGAGCTACATCCCCAGCCCTTCATTTCCACAACGGACAGCACGAATAAGATCACTTTAGTTTTAGAAGTAGGCAGCTACTGATCTCAAGTGGACCCCGACTTCACAGGAAGACATCCTTGGGCAAGTCAAAGCCAACGATTCTTCTTGGGCCGTGTGGGATTCAGCATCACAAAACACCAGGGTGCACCTTCTATTCCAGGCATCACTGCAAATGGGAATGCTTTCGTGCAACGTCAAAATCAAAGCAGCTTGGCTCAACCCAGGGCAGCGCTGTGCGGCCTGTGAATGGTTCCTATGGTTCTCATACTTGGGTTCTCAGCTCTTAGCCCCCATCCCAGCAGACAACCCCATCAACTGAGATCTTCCCTTCTTGCCTACGTCCTCCTCATCAGTCTCACACTCCACTTTGACGCGGACAAAAGACCCAGACATCATCATCTTCGCCATGCTCAAACAGCTGCCTTAGTCAAACTCAAGCACTTAGGTTTGAGTTTAAGATCCTGTGGTGCCAAGGCAAGGCAGTGCACACAAGGCAGTGCACGCAAGGCAGTGCACGCAAGGCAGTGCCGGCAAGGCAGTGCACGCAAGGCAGTGCACGCAAGGCAGTGCACACAAAGCAGTGCACGCAAGGCAGTGCACGCAAGGCAGTGCCGGCAAGGCAGTGCATGCAAGGCAGTGCACGCAAGGCAGTGCACACAAGGCAGTGCACACAAGGCAGTGCCCACATGCCATCCCATCACTCAAGAAGTGGAGACAGGAAGAGCATGACTTCAGTTTCCTGGCTCAGAAAAGTAAATAAATAAAATAAGTCACTAGGGACAGAGCAATACTAGAGGAATGGAAAATGGAAAAGAACAGAGTAATTCTTCAACATGCCAAACACAGTGATCATAAGACCGAGGGGCTTACTCCTGGGTGTACATCAAAGCAAAATAAATATGTATGTTCACACAAAACTCAAAGCAATGGCTCATAGCTGGTTACCCAAGTGTAAGCGAATTGTAATGTTGGCATACAGTGGAGTACTAGGCAACAAAAAGAATAAAGTGTCCGTGCGTGGTGGTCCATATTATTACATACAGTAGATAAATAGGGAGACAGAGATCCCTGTCTAGATGAATACATCTATATATGATTTATAGATAGATGATAGATATGAAAGATGATAAATAGATAGATGATATAATAGATAATAGAAGATAGATAGATAGATAGATAGATAGATAGATAGATAGTAGATAGATAGATAGATAGATAGATAGATAGTAGATAGATAGATAGATAGATAGATAGATAGATAGATAGATAGAGGTGTTGGACATATAGACATATGTTGGGTAGATAGCTGATAGATGATAGCTATGACAAACAATAGCTAAATAGGCAGATAGGTGATAGATGACATACAATTGATACATAAATGATAAGCAACAGAAAAATAGAAAAGAGATAATAAATAAGTAGATAGATATGTGATTGACAGGTAGATAAGTAATATAGATATATTAATACAGACACATGATCAACAGATTAGGTAGCTATGTAGATATATAGATAGATTGATGATAGAGCTGTTCTATATATACACATGTGCATACACAGATATGTGTATGTAAATATGTGTATATACATATAATTATATATTCACACACACACATATATATACATATATATAAGAAGGAAGGCAGGCTCCTTGGGTGCAGCAGAGCCACATGGTCTCCTGAGGGCTGGGATCGCAGGACACTTCCAATAGCCAAATACTGCAGATCTATAAAACACCCTCACAAAGCCATAAACACACAACTCTTGAAAAACAGCCATTCTGTTCCTAACAAGACAAAATGTAAGGGTGCACATAAAAACTTTCCAGCGAAACAAAGAAACACTCAATAAAATGATTTCAAATTGTGTAAAATGCAGAGCTACGCTTGTAAGAAAGGGAAACTCCTGAATGAGTTAAAAAAAAAATGGAGACAGTCTGTCGAGAAAGGAAAGATGAGTTAATCGTTGACTAAAGGTTGATATGTGGGGGGGGGGCTCCAAGTTCCCTGGAGAAATAAAACTGAAACAGAGGTATTTGTAAAAATCAGGATTTCATTAGAGAAAGGAAGCATAGATTGCTGCTATTATTATTATTATTGTTATTATTATTATTGCTATTATCATTATCATTATTACTATAGTAAAAGAACTGGGCAGGCATCTGGCTCATTATAGAATACTTGTCTATAATCTGTCAGTTCGGGGCTGGTGGTATATTTTAGTGGTAGAACACCTGCCTAGAATCCCCCAGTGAGGGACTGGGGTGTGGGTCAGTGGTAGAGCACCTGCCTAGAATCTCCCAGTGAGGGGTTGGGGTGTGATTCAGTGGTAGAGCCCCTGCCTAGAATCCCCCAGTGAGGGGCTGGGGTGTGATTCAGTGGTAGAGCACCTGCCTAGAATCCCCCATGGGGCATGGCCAATTGGTAAAGTATCAGCTCAGAATTCCTCAGTGAAGGGCTGGGCATGTAGCTTAATGGTAGAGCACCTGCCTAGAATTCCTCAGAGAAGGAATGGGGACACAACTCACTGACTAGACAGGCTAGCCAAACTGGTATACTTTAGGCCCTAGTAAGAGACCCTGTCTCTAAAATCAAGGTTCATAGCACCTCAGGAATAATGATCAAGGCTGACCTTTGCCATTCACATACAACCACATGTACATGATCATGCACACACACATATACATGCAAAATAACAGAAATAAAATTAAGAATACATGTCCATTCAATTAAGGACATGCGGGAAATTTGGTTCCTAATGCAATGCCCTTCCCCACTGGGGCATGATTTCTTCCCAGGATGAAACACTCCCACTTAGCAACCTCACACATACACAAAAGCAACACCATGCCACCCATCACAATGTGACAGCTATGAATTATATATTTCGTGGTCCATGTGTTCCCCTTTTCCCTCCAATTTCATCTTCCAGAGAGATGCAACAAGGCAGCACAAATTTCCGCAGGATTTTAATGTGTTTACTTAGCACGCTCCCCGAAACCACTGGCAAAGACAAATAAGAGTTCAAGTCCAAGGATGAAGGCCACATCAGTCTTGGGCCCAGGATGTTGCCACTGGAACCAATTGAGATGACCCCACTGTATTAATCACTTCCTCGCTGCTGTGAGGAAGGAACCTAACCAATGCAACTCAAGGAAGGAAGGGTTTATTCTGACTTAGAGGCTGAGAGTACACTCTGCCAGGAAGTGAAGGCATGGTGGCCAGAGTGTGAGGCAGCTGGACACATGGTATTCCCAGAAAACAGAGGTTGGCCCACTTTCTCCATTCTATGCAGTCCGGGACTTCATCCAATGGGATTGTAGTATCCATATTTAGGGAGGGTCTTACTTCCTCAATTAACCTAGAAACCTCATCACAGACACGTCCAGAAGTGTGTCTCCTAGGTGATTCCAGATAAAGTCAAGTTGACCTGACTGTCAATATCAATCAACAGAGAGAGAGAGAGAGAGAGAGAGAGAGAGAGAGAGAGAGAGAGAAGGGCCCCTTGGTCTTTGGCATAAAGCACTTAGAGCACAAGGACCTGAGTTTGCTCCTTAGAACCCTCATATATAAGGCCAGCACAGCAGAACACAGCCATAACCCCAGCATTGAGGAGACGAATCCCTGGTGCTCACTGGCAAGTCAGCCTGGACTTTTTGACCAGTTTCAAGCTAATGAGACCTTGTCTCTATAATAACATCTGATTTCGATCTCTTTTTTTCCACACACATTTGCACACACACACTCACATTAAGTAAC